GTAGTTGTTCTTTTAAGCTGCAATGGTTTAATTAGGGTCAACATGGTGGTTTCATGAAAAGGAAAGTGTTCATCGGTGGCGAGGAGCAGAGGTCTAGGATTTTATTGTGCTGAAATAAAGAGAATTGGAAGATAAAGCATAGTTCTCGACTTGGTATCAAAAGCTCTATGGGATATTGACTGACTTTTCATTTTCATGTAGTACCTAACACAGCACAGCTCTGGTTTTACCTTTGGGGTTCATAAATCGAATAAAATGACCTAATTATTTATTTGCAACAGTTATAGTGTATTTCGCGGGTGGTTCAAAAAATAAGCAGAGTGCAAATGTGATTCTGTTGAGAACATTGAATTGGTTTGGAAGAGTAATTGAGATATCGTATAAAAATAATGTTACATTCATGTAATATTTCTAATGTGATTTTTGCCCCACAGTTTTAGCAAATGAAAGAAACTGTTCCAGAAGTGCAGAGTACCTGACACAGCTAGTCCTAAGGCACCGTGAAAACTTTTTCTCTGTGGCTGTTGCAATGAAATAAGTAGCTCTTCAGCCATAATCATGTACAATATCAAAGTAGATATAAGCTGTAGATGGGGGGTGGGGGAAAGGCTTTTCATTTGCTGTAGTGCAAGCCATAATTCCAATTTGAAATTGTCATCACTGAGCTGACTTTTCTACATATTTGAGAATAAAACAGACTCCTGACTAAATGGGAGATGTATCACAAGAGGGAACGTTGTTGCAGCTTCAGCTATTTCTTCCACTTATCTTCACTACCACGTTATAGCTACCGTTGACTCTGGTGGATAAAAAATTAGCAGCGAGGGCAGCTTTTAGTGGATGACACTAAATGTTTTTTCAGTTTGATTGCAGAGCTATTGCAATAGTACCTAGAACCAGAAGATGGCACCGTGCTTAAATATACAGGGTCAACCCGAAAACAGAAGAAGTGAAAAAAAAAAAAAAAAAAAAAAAAAAAAAAGCTTTGGAAGAGAATTTGTTCAGAAAGAGCTTTTTGAAAGGGATAATGGAATGGAGACAAGGAGAAACAAATGTGCTTTTTCGATGTTTATTCTAAATTTTTGTTCTTTATTTATTCTAAAGTCTGGTAATTGCTATGGAATATATAAGACTTTGAGCACTGCCAATCAATCATCACATTGAAATTTCACAACTCACTTCTTGTAGGTGCTCATTGTGAATCTAAACTCCATACAATACTTCAGAAGGAAAATAGTCCTAGACAACAGATTATTGTCACTCCTACAAACTTTTTTCATGCTATGTAGCAAAGTTGAAAATTTGAATCCTCCTCAGCAAATACGCTGAAACAAAATATCTTTTGAAATAGGTCGGCACTGAAAGCAAATGTTATGTTTTCCTGCACCATAAATTTAATAGGTAAAGTTCATTCAGTAATTTGAAAGTCTTAGTATCTGCTTCCGTAGGGTTCTTGAGTGTTAGATTAAATCATAAATTTGCAGTTATATTGTGAACTGCACTCCTTGTTTTACTGAAATATTTTTCCTTGATCTGCTCCTTGAAGGTGTTAACCTGAGAGGGAAGTTGGTGAAAGAAATGCAGCGGTAGGAACAAGGTGGTCATATATTCAGATGTAACCAGAGTTCTTTTGTATCCTAGTTATACAGTGCAGTATCCTCATTGCTAGTGCTCTGTGCAGCCCCTACACTGAGTAAAACAGGCGCTGTTAGTGCCAAGTGTCGGTGGTAGAATAACCTCTTTTATGGTTACAGTTCTGCTAGAATAAGAATGATTTGTTCATTGTTTAAATCACCTCACTTCAGAAATATATGAAAATAGGGATTCTCTGAAGCAGTTTTCCCACAGTAACTTTCTAAAAACAATTTAAACTTCTAGTTTGTGAACCAGGTGAACCGGCAGTTGCTCACAGCTACACACAACTTAGAGCTAGCACTTGCAAGATCCAAGTCTTCTCCTCCTCAAGTGAATAGCACCCAAATTACGCTATAGAAGTACTGTGTAATTTGCTTTAAAAAAACTTCAAGAAATCTATCTAGCTTTAGCTGAAGCCTTTCATAGAAAGATTACACACTTTTGTTGCTAAATTATATGTCAAAACTGTCCCAACTTTTACAGAATGTGATGTAAATACATTTCTAACATCTTGGTTTCTGGCTTTTAAAATTATATTCTTGTACTCTGTTTTAGGAAGAAAATATGACTGTAACAGAGGATTTTAGCAGACTAGAGAACACTTACCAAATGGAAGCAGAGGTAGGTATTCTTGCTAGCAAAAGGGAAAATTGCACTGCAGCCTAGTGGAAACGTGCAGAGTCTTTCATCACAACTGTAGTGGCTGTTCTGTGCAGCCATAGTCCAGAAAAAGTTGCCCCTTAAAGGGACATTTGGTCGCTGCCCACTGTTTTGTGCAGAATATTTGTTTGCTGCTACTGTAATACAGAAATGATTGTTTTCTTCTCAGATGAATATGTGTGTTTTAAATTTTAGGTGATGCCATAGAAAGGAATATTGTGTCTTTGCACTCTAAGGCTGTTGGTTTTTGGCTGTATAAGCTAACGTAGGTGAATTTCCTGTTGTCCTGCTCCCTTGTTTGCCCCACACCATTCTTGCCCTCTGCCCTTTGCCAGGAGCTGTACTTATGTTATCAGGTGGCAGGTTAGTTCAGAAAGCTCCCCCCCAGAGTGATTATTTTTTGCATCGTTTCAGCTCCTGGGCTGGAGGTCATGCAGAGCAGAGGACTAGAGTGGATGGGGCACAGGAGTGGCAACTCCAGTCTAGATCTGCTTAAGGCACATCTCAGCAGCACCTGGACCTGGGTCTCTTCTGCATGACTCTGCCACCAGCCTCTGCCACTAACGCAGAGGTAATTCTTTCCTAGGTAATTTGTTTTAATTCTGTAGGTAAAAAGTGCTGTGTGTGAAAGCTAAGTATGGAAATAATCCCATTTTCTTCCGAAGTGGCCCAGGGGAGTGCAGTTTTGCATGTTCATGCTACAGCAAAAAGTAAATGTTGCTCTAGAAACATTTACAGAGGGAAATGATGTGTTTTCAGTAAATGAATCTTTTCAGTGCATCAAACTTTAATGACTACATAGTAACTTTACGGATTCTTACGAAGTCAATTTGGAAGTCTGAAAACTAAAATGATAGCTGTTTTATAGAGCTGCTACTTACAGTTCCTTAAAGCGGGGCTCAGCCTCTCTGATTTGTTTGTTCATTTGCTTTAAGGCATATTCTTATCCAAAGAACAACAATAAATATGGAAATAATTGAGAATTTGCAGAAGACAAGTTAGAGTTAAAAATGAGTCCTCAGCTGCTTAAATGATATGTGTGAGTGTCATATTCTGAATTTTTAACTTTATAATGTAGGAAAGTACTGTAAGGAAAGCTGAAATTGCTAGATCTTTTAGATAAGATGCACTCGAACAATCAGTAAAACTGTATCCAGTTGTTATGTAGGTTACAGACAAGCCTAGGCTTACAACTTCAGTTTTAACTGGCAACTTAACCAATCATCTCCCTTTTCCTGCTATTGATTTTCATACAACAAAGATGGTAACTGGAAGAACTAACCACATGGATCAAGTGTTTGTGAGTCAGTGATGTGGGTCAGCTGTAATGGCTGTTCAAAAGTTGTGGTTGCCTAGAACTGGGAGTTAGAACTTGAAAATCTGCTCACAGGACAGGTATTTTGACTGCCTGGTGAGTCTAAGTAACAGTGTGGTAGCTCTCTATGCAGAGATCAGTTCCTCCTTTCCTCCCCAGGTATTTAAGCACTAGATTGTTAGCAGAGCTTCATAAACCAATTCAGCTCCAGTGCCCAGTGCCTTTGATTGCTTTAGCAACAGAAATGAATTGAAGATTAACTGGAACTGGCTTCTGTACCAGGGAGTTTGCTATTGTATTTGTGCCATACATCTAACCTCAAAGGTCATGTCATATCCTATGAACTCTCTTTAGCATTTTTTCTACTTTTTTGAAGATTAAGGAAGTTACCAGATAAATTATATTAAGACGTAATTAAGAGTTCAAGATATCCTCTGTGAATTTCAGTAGAATTTATTGTACCTAGCTCTAATCTAAGTGAAAGCTATGATTTTTAAAAGAAATCACAGCTGTCAGAGGGCAGTTATTTTCTGCCCTGAGGGTTCCTGACTGCATGCTTCTTGCTAAAAATAAAGTTCCTGAGTGCCCAGAACTTGCCCAGTCTGAGCAGCCCAGCTCTGGCTTGAGAGCCACGATGCTTTTGTTTGCTGATTCTTTGGCCTCCGTGAGGGAACTACTCTCGTAAACACTGACAGCAGGCTGGGAGACACTGGCGGGCCTTGCAGTGAGACTGTACTTTCTGCTTTCCACAAAATAACAGTTATGACAACTTCCTTGCACAACACTGCATAAAAGGATATGCGCTTTTCATAGTTCTGGGAAGAGCTCTCACTGAAGAAAGGACTCGAGGCCCAGTTTCATGTTCCAGCGCAATTCAAATCCATATTGTACATTCTGTGGGTGGAGGTGAAAACACTGAGCTGTGCACGGACCATAGCCAGCACGAGGGGAAGTGCTCCGCGCTGAGACAAGCTGTTGAGAGTAACAAGCTTGTGTGTTAGTTACTTTATGATATTTGCCAGTGTCCATATTTACCTTAACCTGCATGTGTACTGTTATCGCCAGGTGGCAACACACTCGGGGTAACTGCAGAGCCCTTAATGTGCAATAACTTTTGCTGTGTGCAGATTTTTTTGCTGTGTGCTTCTACTGGATTAGCTTGTTTCATGGGCTGCACAGGGAACATGCCCTGTATCTCACCTGAGCTTGCAGTGGAGTTTTCTTTGCCATGGCTTTCTTCTTTCCTCCCTGTTGACACTGTAGTGGTGTGCAAAAAGAAATGGAATGAGAGGAGCTTGACTTGGTGGAAGTGGTGGTGAGGGCACACTCCTGTGAGGTAAAAATAAGGATTTGGTCCTCCCAAAGAGGAGTTTGGGACCCGGGATCTCTGATCAGTGGTTCAGTGGTGACTAGGGTGCTCTGCCACAGGGAAAGGCTTCCTGGCCTGGAAGTCAGGGGCAGGGCCTTTCTGACAGGGAAGGCAGTGGGGCTCTGGGCCCTGGACTCACAGTGATGTCTGTCCGTAGCACTGTGGAGAGCACCCGCTGCTCCTCTGGAGAAAAATTCCTGAAATGTGTGTGTTTAGTGCTGCTTATTGCCAAAGCCATAGCCAGCTAAATGCTTAAGCAGTTTTTAATCCGAGTCTGAAGTGTCCAGTTCTCTCTAGGCCCTGAAGTGACTCTGTTCACCCAACACAAGGTTCTGAGCCCACCTCAGGGACTAGGCAAGGATTAGTTTAATCTGACCTAACTAGCTTAGGCTTTTAGAACCTAATGCTTGGAAATAAAATACATAGTGTTTTCTATATCATTTTGCTTTAGCTTCTACATAATTAACATCTAGTAATCTGAGGCTGACTAAAAAAGACAGGAATTGGGATGGATCTGCTCATGTGCCCCGAAGAGAGTGTTTCACATGGAAAATACTGTGCTTCCTCACAGAAGAGCATCTTCTCAGTCCACAATTTTGAACCATTTTATAAACATCCTTCTGTTGCAAAATCTATGGCAGATTCTTTATAAAAAGATTCTTGTCAACTCTGTGTTTGTTACATACAGGACTCTAGTATGTTTAGTTTGTGCATACATTGTCTTTGTAATGATTTAATTACAAGTGCATTATAGGAGAGGGTAAAAAAAATGACTTGTCTAATCTCTGTGTTCACTCACAGGTCTGTATTATATTCAGTGATTTTGGGAAAATGCAGAATGTTTGCAACCTTCTCACTGAAAAGCTAGGGAGCTCTGTTGCTATCAGTGCGCCTCATTTCTACCACACGCCAGAAGCTGTAGACACCCTTCGGTAAGTTCCTGCTCACTCCACAAATTTTACAACCTCAGGTACCAGTTGATAGGAGTACATTGTGTATACTAATTATAATGGGGACAAATAGTTTCCTTGATGCCTATTAAAATTTATATGCAAGTATTTCAGCATTTTTTCTAAATGTAATTTTATAAATTAATGCTGTTCAGCCTAGAAAGATACAGCTTGTTCCTTCACAGTGTCCCCGTGCAAAAGCAGAATGTAATAAAAACCATTTTCATGCTGATTTCAACTGGCCATATTATCAACTGTTAACCTTAGCTAGGTCATAGTATTTTAGCTTTAGATTACATCAGCCACGTTAGTTTTCATTTGGATTTATGCATGAACATGTTAACAGATGTTGGTAATTCTAAGTACTCTTGCCAATTCCCACTGCTCCTGACTGCTGACAAGCTCTGAAAGAAGCCACTCAGTTCTTATTTAGCATCAAAACATGCTATGGGGGCCTTGATATTTTTGCAGTTAATTATTCAAACTCCTATCTCCTCTGTGGAATCTGTGGGAGGGGGCAGAGGGGACCTTATCCTCGATGGGGCTTTGCCTTCTTAAGGAATGAGGTTTGTTCCCCACGAGGGCAGAGCTGGCTGCTGCAGGCAGCTCTGCAGAGCTGTGCGCAGGGGTCTAGCTGGAAATGAGGCCAGGGAGGCTGCACGGGGCCTGGCAGCGGGGCCCGGAGCACGGGCTGAGCTCCCGTGCGCCTCACACAGTGCCAGTGCTCACGGCGCGTCCGCCTTTGAGCCTCCCCGCAGCTCGCACGGGTGCTCGCGCGCCTCCTGCACGGGGAAGCTGGGGGAGGATGAGGTGCCTTGCATCTAACCTGGCCGTGAAACACAGGCACTGCACAAAATCCACTTGGCAGGAAAACTTGGTGGTCCTGCTTGTTATATTGCTGCTTTTCCACCTCTCAGCCGTCAAGTATGTGTTGCTGCTGTTGGAAACACAAGGCGAAAAGCACAAGAGGTCTGTCGATTGTTTGGCCAGTCATTGGGAAAACCTCTCTTAATAAGAGAAGAAGAAACAAAAGAATGGGGAGGCCACAGAGATGGTCACCTGCCTGACACTTCACTGACTCTGCAGGAAAGAATCCAGAATGCAACTGTTTATGCTTCTTGTAGAGTATCTGCTGTATTTGAGATAAAGGGAAAGGAAAACAAAAGAAACAAGTTGCTCTAGAAACATTCGTGTCACTGACACCTTGGATCAAATGTCCAAATGCTGTCATTTTTCAGCCAGGCTGAAAACCATGTTCATTCATGGAGCATAAATACTTTAGAAGTTTTCAAAGTTGATTTCACTAGCACTCTTTATTTTGTCTCTTTGCTTGTTTTAATTCATACACTTTTCATGCTTTCTCTGCGTTTTCTCTATACGTTTTTTTTTTTTTCCCCTTTACTCTTAGCAGCAAGTGGGGCTAAGGTAGAATACCAAGAAAGCAGTTCATGAGCCAAAGCAGGGAGCTAACATGCCTACCCAGGTGCAAAGGATTACCTTTAATACAGTTCCATGTCACTCAACTCTTCCTTTGCATGAATCATTTACAGGAATCACAACACATGCTTTGTAAAAATAGGGTGGTCAGATTATTGCAGTATTTATTTATTGCAGCTCTCTGCAGAACTGTTTGAATATCCTTTGGCCTTTTTTTAGCTCTCTTCCTTTAAATCAAGGTTACTATTAGTTCTGGCAGCTCCTTATAACTGGTTAACTTATTCCTATCCCCCTGTCAAAAGGCCAAGATACTTGACATGCAAAACCTTAGGTCCTGCTACCTGAAGCTTGGCTATATTTAAAACCTTCCTCCCAAATTAGGAAACTAAGCCCAGTTCTGAGCTCATGCTACACTAAACATGCAGTGCATTCACTTCTGCTGGAAGGGATTGTCCAACATAAGACAAAGACACGCTTCGTAATTTCAGTTTTATTTCTTCAGAAGAAATAATTTACATCAATTTACATCAATCAACAGACCTGAGGTCTGTTTGCAACTTCAGAAGAAATAATTTACATCAATTTTATCCTGAGGTCTGTTTGCACCAGTTTAAAGAGGAAGTGTGCTGTGCAGATGTACATCACACAGCAAACACCTCAGTCGTGAGGATAGATTCTTTTCAACCATGGTTGCATAATGTATTTCGATCCATTGTAGCCACTGAAATAGGCTATCATATCAGAGTGATGTACCTGAGAAAATAATTGGGTAGCAGGCATCAGAACTAGCAATACATAAAAACTGATACTTTCATGATTATTTTAAGTTACTCAGTTGTGATGGTTAACTCCTGTTTGGTGTTAAATACATGCTACACTTTAGCAGGATTTTTGACATGCCTTAGCCACTGTTCTTATGGCATAAATGAGCTTTCCTCAAACTGCTGAGCTACTCTACACATCTTGAACATGCCTCATAAAATCACTCGTGCTTGATTGAGCCAGGGGTTGATGCCTTTAAATCAGCAGTTTCTTAGTGAAGTACTTTCCACTTCTTTGGTGCTGGTGTGGCTGTTTTTCAGCTGGATCAGTTATCTGCTCCAGTTAGACAGCAGGAAGAGTAAAGCAGCAATTGGTGAAGTGAGGGCCATAGGTAGCATAATATCCAGCATTAAAGTGTAAATCCAGAGGGGAATCCATAGTACATGCTGTGTCATGCTGTCAAAAGCTTGCAGTGAGTTGTTTAGAACTGCCCCTTAGGAAGTGGTGAGACTGAGTTCAAGCTTTTTCTCTTCCCTTCAGTCCAAACCCCCTTTGGGAAAGTAAACCATCAATTAGATGGTAGGAAAGGAGGAGCAAGGGCAACTGCAGACCTTCTTTTGAACTTGAGGTATAGGCATGACTAATAAAGTTTGTAATTAATCACACCCAACTTTCAAAGGTCTAATTTTGCAAGCTTGTTACTATTAGTTCCCCTAATCCTGTATGAGGAGAATAAACCTCCTATAGCTAAGAAAAGTGATCTGACATCTAAAGGGCTGGTTTTCTCATGAGGTAAATGTTTGAGGTAAGGTATCTGTTTCTCCCCATGGAACTGTAAAGGTAACTGAAGGTGATCAACTGACATAATGAAAAGTGTATGTTTTTGTGAGCTGTCAACACCCGATTTTAAATATCTATGACATTCATCTGAGATGGCACTGCCAAGTTCCTGCATGTTAGCACATTTTCTATTACAGTATTTGGCCAAAATGGAGGCACAGTTTCCACACAAAGGTTGGAGACCCTTCAAGCCAGACTAGCAGACACATTTGATTGGGGCTTTCTGAGGGAAGGCAGAAAATGCCCATTTGAACATTCTCCATTCTCCCTGTGGCAGGTTGAAACTCCTCACATGTGAGATGAATGGTTCAACTGCTTGATGTTAGTTTGAATTCGGATACTGCCACTATCCAATTTAAAAGGCATCTGCTGCAGTGCTGGTTCCTTTGCCGCAGGGCCGCCTGCCTGCAGTACGTGTGTATGTGTGAAGATTGTCCCCTGGACGAGACTCCTCTCAGGACGTAAGCACTAACTGGTTTAAGAATCAGGTGCACTTTGCATGAGCTGGACAGCAAAAGCTGCTGAGATCATACACTAAACAGAATTTTAGTCTCCCACAGAGCTTTGCAGTCAAGCAGAGAGATATCATTCAGTCTGGGCAGCATCTGAGCCAAAGCTCTTTGAAATACATTTTTTTTTCCAAAGGAAAATTGCAAAACCAGTATACTTTGCTAGACCTAGTAGTAAGAGATTAAATGACTTGCTCAAATCTGATGGATCAGTGAAATTCTGAAACAAAGGCCATGCCTGTTCACAATAGAAGTCAAATTGCCAAAATCTGAGAGAAGAAGAATAGAGAGAGAGAGTTAAATACTTGGAAGTGGGTAGCACTTGGCTTTGGTCTTTTATCACCTGAAAATATGTATTAGAAAAAGCACTAATACATGAATCTGCTTTTTTTCTGCTATTTTTCACTACCTTTATTAAATGGATAGTTAGCATCTAGGAAGTCAGAGGTCAGCCAGCTTTCAAACATGCAGGATAACAAACATGTTGCAGTTAAATAAAAAAGAAATATTACCTGTAATCCCATAATAATTGTAATCTCCTCCTCAGGAATGTAAGCCGTAGATTTGCCAAATTCATTTGCCTTGTTAATTAGAATTCGATAGTGAGGAGTATCTTTTAGATACTGTAAAAATACAGGAAAAATAATCTCAAGGAGAGATCATGACTAAAGATTACACTATATGGTAAGTTCGTACATTTACAAATGCTAAAAAATCTTCAATATGTAGGGCAAATATAAATGTATAATCTTATCAACATCGGTCTGGAAAATTGAATATAAAACAATAAAACCTGTGATCTGTGAAGTTGTACTTGGCCTATCTGGAACACACTTTAAAGAGCCAATATCTTTTCTTCCAGTAAATCTTACAAGAAGCATTACTTAGAATATCCCTTCTGTAAGTAGTTCCCATAACAATTTATTAGTCATCCTCCTCCCTTCACCTTCGCAAATTTTTACAGAAAGGGACCAAAAAGGGGGCAAATACAGAGCCTAATAATATCTCTGACAATCCCAGTCCCTGTCAGGCCATAATTTGGGGAACTCCAGCCGTGAAGGAGAAATATGGCTATTATTTATTTTTATATTGTAACAGTGCCCCAAAACCCCAGGACTGATGATAGACCAGGGTGCCAGCATGATGGCTACTCGTGAACAGTGCAGTCTCTAGCAACCCGCAGTCCAAACCGCCACACAGCCGCGATGGATGAGAACAGACAGACAAACGGGGAGCCAAGGAAGCAGGCAGGCAGTGCTGGCCAGCACCCCAGGCGGAGGCCTCTGCGCAGCGACGTGTTAATGAACTAGAAGCCCAGGCAAGCAGTGGTGCTGGGAGAAGGTGGAGCTCGAAGCATGGGTAATGGCTGGAGGGGATTGGCAAGGATCAAGCTCATTAGTTGACTCATATGGTCCAAAGCGATTTTGTGGAGCTGATACATGTAATATGATGATGCAGAAGCTAGTTAAAAAAAAAAAAAAAAGAAAAAAAAAAGATACGAAACCACATGCATCATCACTTGAAATTAAAATCATAAAGATGAGCACAAAGTCACTGAAAGAACAGAACTAAGCAAGGTATGTAGAAAGAATCAGCATACCTGGTGGGGAGTATCTGACAGCAATAGAGAGAAGGTGGGGGAAATCCCTGTGCAGGTATTTTAGAAGTCAAGGATGAGCAATGAGTGGATAAAATTACAACAGGGAAGGAACAGAAGACACCACACAGGCCAGAACGTCTGTTCCCAGTTGAACCCCAGCTGTCTTCTACAGGCAGAATTTCTTTTCTCATTTTCTGGCCCCTCTGGCCTCCCTGCCAATTTGTAACATGTGAGCAACCAACCCACTCTATTATCAGAGCAACACTGTCAACATAAGTATTTTTTTTTTAAATAAACCAACGACTCAGGCCAGATAATTTCAAAAGCTTCAAGAATTCTAACAAAAACATGTTGTTAAATAAACCTACATTTCCAGAGTCCAGCTCTTCCAACACATAGCTTTTAAACTGAAACTGATTGATTGTGCATGAGAGCTCACTTGTATTTCTTAGGTGCACTGAAGATACTGCTACTTGCATTTACCCATCAGATTTACAGGATTTAAATGCTTCTTAATTTGAATAGCACAGCACAAGAAACTGCTTTAAGTAAATGCAATGCTCTGTATGAAAAGTGAGTAATTTTATTTCAAGAGACATGCCAGGCCAGTGAGGTTCAACCAATAAGTGCTGCAACAACAAGGCTCTACTGTGGTGACCAAGTGGAATAGGCAGCAGTTTCCCTCAGCTGCACAGGTGACAAAAAAAAAAAAAAAAAAAAAGAAGAAAGAAAGAAAACAAAAACAAACCTCAGAAACAGAGACAAACTTTGTGCTAACCTAATGGAAAATTATTTTTTTTTCTTACCTGAGTTATTCTGTGTACTGTATTAATAAAACAAGAATTTAATACATTCAAACCTGTTTTGCTGGAGGGTATTTGTTTTGTAGCCATTCTGCTGGAGCTTTCGCTTTTACATCCCATCCAACAATGACTCCTGAGTAGCCAAGTCTTTTATGAATTATTACCTGTCCCACGCTGAACCGTACTGATTCAGGCTTTGGACTGCGAACGTAAGTTGATTCTAGTTTAAGAAAGAAAAGGTCTTAGCAAGGAAAAGCCTTTGATTTAGTATGCTGGACATTTAAACAGACCTCCTCTGACTTCCAGGGCAACAGAGCAACAGAGCTGGCAGTTCAATGACATGGTGAAGTAAGTAAGAGATGCTGTTCTCTTCCTCTCTCCTTTTCCCCTCCCAATGTTACTACAGGACTTGACAAAGCAGCATCCCCTAAGGAAGGGTTATTAAATAAAAGGAAAAGTATAGCACTGTTTTTTCGTGTGTCAGTTCGTAACAGGCACATCCAGACCTATCCAGTAAAACAGACATACACTTAGAGGGTGGTTTACCATGTTGACACTATTGCACAACACAGAAGGAAAATGTTTTCTTTTGTGAAATGAGCAATGTTTGGAGAGAAGGGGAAAAAAAAAGCATCAGTTATAAGGCAAGTATAGATGCACACCCATTAGAATACAATATCACAAGCAAAAATCAAAGCAAGACTGCAGTACCTGCAAAATAAGAATGCGCTGTTTCTTCATTTTCTCCGTTTTCAATTTTCTTTTCTCCATAGTACCAGTTCCTAAAATGAACCAATGTTCAAACAAGTTTTTAGAAATTGAGTTTTAGGATAATCAGTCTTCAGATTATTTTGAGTAAAGCAATACTGCAAAACACTTGATACAAAATTTGCTATAATTTGAAACTGAACAGAATGGCAGTTTTACAGAAATACCCCTTTTGGGGAATATAAAATAAAAAGGATTTTTTTAGATCTTGGTTTAGCTCAAGTCTGTAGGAATGCTTAAGACTGACAAATACCCTTTAACAGAATCAAAAATGTAAACTAGGCAAAAGGTACAAAATCTCAAGTCAGTCTCAACAGGGGAATGAGAGACATTTCCCCTTTGTCACATGCCTTATCCTGAAAACACTGTTTCAAAATTGTTCTCTTTTTCAATTAGACTTAAATATAGACAATAAGAATGTAACATCCTACCTTGTCTTTGATAGCCAGAGCTTTAAATGATCTGTCCACGCATCCAGGCTCAAAAAAGATTTTGTGAAGCTGCTCCACCAGACAATTATTCTTTAAAATATAAAATATATAAATACGTGTATTTGAATTTTAAGGCTTTGCTTATGTAGCGTAAGGGAAATATAAGTCTCTAACAATTATATCCTTTCAATCATTACTTGTATCAGTAAGCTGTATCTGATTTTGGAAAATGCCTTTTTTCCTGACTAGGCTGTTTTCTATCTGTATTTCCACCACAGGAATTGCTAGAGAGTCTCAGAGCAGTATTCATTCTGTTGTTTCAACTGTTACTTGAATCTGATGCAGCATTCTCTTTATATTTGGACACAGATGGGTGTGATCCTATCTAAATAGCTTCTTAATTAGTAAACAAGATGCCACTGTTTACTTAATTCTCTCCTTACGATTGCCTTAAGCAATTCTGAATGAAAGAATTTTTGTTGATTACGCTCTGCACTGACTCACACTGTTCTAAAATATCTGTTTCATAGTAAGTGTCTAAAGGCAATGGAAAGTTAGAAAGGTCTTATTAATAAAACACTTCTCAACTTTTAAAGAAAGAGATTGAATCCTGGTAACATATACTAGACTCACCAAAACCAAAATGAGATTTAGTTATGCAGATTATACTGAATTTTTATATGAAGAAAACATGGCTGTTATTCAAATGTTGACAGACGTCTTTCTTTAAAAAAATAAATCAGCTCCCATTAAGCCCCGGTAATGTCTGAGGTATGATTTGAATGTTGTTTTGGAGCATCTCCCACCCACACTCCTACTTTCCAAGGCAAAGTATAATTTGGGATAAGAAGAGAATCCTTTTCTAAATAACTACAGTAGGGAAGGAGACCTACAACCTTTCCATTGTCTGGATGCGCTGCGCAGAGTCCGCTCCGTACCACTGGGATATGAAATACTGCGTAGGAAGCGCGGAGAGCAGCACGCCGAGCTGCAGGAGCGCCGCTGCGCCCACCGGAGCCATTCCCACGGGAAGCTCCGCACAGGCACCCCGCTGCTCCGCCTGCGAATGAGGGAAAGGGCAGGCGGAAAAAGTTTTTAAAAAAAGAAAGTGCCTAAAAGTTTTCTTCGGGTTTATTGAAGATGCACAGAACACACATATACTTTTCAGTTACATACAGATCATGTTCAAATTAGATCTGACTGCGTTGTTAGGATTTTGAGGCATTTATAAAAGCTAACTGAAGGCTATCAAAAGCAGACAGCTTCACAAGACAACGAAATAATAATAAAAAAAAAACTATTTAAGTCGTGCCTAGAAATCTCTTTAATCTGGGAATACAAGAAAAAAATATGACAAGAAGTGGTATGATTGCCTGATTTGCAATAAAAAGCAGCTCTTCCTGAACAAAAAATCATAGTGCTTCATTATCAAATAATTAAGTGCATTAAACACATCTGACATATCAGTTCAACGGCCTCCGGAGAAACCTCTTTAGACACAGTGATTATTGTATATACAGCAGAAGTAAAGGATGTTTTTCCATCGAGAATGAGAACATGGATGGCACTGTACCAAGACAGTAATAACGTGCGTGACACTCGCATCACTATACAAGAAAGGATTTGACAGCACCATTTATTCCATAGGCACTTGCACGCTTTATCAGTGCATTAAATCATTAATAGCAATTTCTGCCCCCCCGCCATCAAATTAAGATTCCTCTTCAGATCAAGAGCGCATTTGCTGTCTTTTGATATCTATGAGACTTTTTCAAATTAGAACTAGGACTTGCTGAAATTAGAGAGAAATGTACCTTTTCCACAAGCATCCTCAGACTCTTTAGGTTTTCCCACAACCTTCATAAAGTTACTATATAGTATAATGTGGTCTGCTTTCCGAGTCATTAACTCCCAATAGCAGCTCTTAAAGCTTCTGCCATATACTTGCTAGCAGAGCGCTCACATTGCAAGCATGTGCCAGTTGCTTCCATTTCAGTTTCTGCTGTTCTAGTTTACTTCATTTTAAAAAACTTTAGGTTATTGTAGTACAGAAGTGAACTATGCACATGAGAAGTTAGGATTGATTAAAAAAACACCTAGCAAAGTAGTCAGAACCACAAAAAATAGGTCTGAAAGATGCCTGGAGAATGCGGCACTAATGCGGCACTAGACCTCAGAAACATCTGTGATGGGCGGTTGGCAGCAGCTAGATTTTTCAGTTCTGCATCACCCTCTTCAGAGACAACAGCAGAGCAAGGCAGCCTCCTCATGTTAGACGTTAACCGTATTTGTGTGGCCCCTGTACCTGCTTGCTGAGCTCTGCCAAGATGGGAGCAAGGGCAGAGCCGTTAAGGTACCATGGGCTAGAGCCACCACATATTCCCAAAATAGCTGGGAAAAAATAATAAAAAATAAAATAAAATAAAATAAAATAAAATAAAATAAAATATAAAATAAAATAAAATAAAATAAAATAAAATAAAATAAAATAAAAATAAAATCCTGTCAGAAAGAGATTGCCCGCCTCGTCCTCCCAGCTGCCCACAGTGCCTAGTGATGCCGCCTACCGCGAGGAAACCCCGCAGCCGCCGTCCTCGCGCGCCTCCTCAGCACCACCAGGTCCTGCTCTGGCACAAGCACAGTGAGGAGGAAGCCACGGTGGTGCTGGGAAAATAAATAAATAAACAAACAAATAAATAAATAAATCGGCATCTCCAACCCCCCCTCCCCGCCCCGCTGCTGTCCGCAGTTGGAGGCGGGCACAGAAGGGGCCTCGCGGCAGGTGGCGACCGTTGGCGACCGTTGGCGCGGGGGGAGGGCCCTCTTGTGCCGCAGACGGAAGGGCGGGCGCAGCCCTTGTGCCTCCTGCGTCGCCGGGTCACCGCGGCGCGGGCCCTCCCGCGCGTCCTGGCGGGGCTGCACCTCAGAATTCATGTTCTGCTGGTCCTGAGGAAGAACAAAAGCGAAACACACACACTCCTCTGCCTTTCGGAAGAGGCCAGTCCGGCCTGCCTCTGGTGTTGTTCTGCCTTGGGCTTTACAGGCAAAATTTACAATGGTGATATGTAAAATGGTCTTAGACTTGAAACACCTTTGCATTAGAAATGTGCTGATTCTCCTATCGCTTGCAAAATCATCCAGGATAGACCAGGTCTTGGTTGCTAGCTCTAAAAAAGCAAGAAAACCTCAGGAGACTTTCTGCACTTACCATTTTTAAGGACTTTCTAAAGAAAAAGTATAATTTTTTTGATTGATTTTAAATCAATATATTTATTGTGTGTTCCCTTGTGCGTTCGAGCTAAAGGGAATTCTAAGTATTTTCTGTGTAAAATAAAAACAGCAACAACAACAACAACAAAAAACAGTGTCTTTAACCAGCCATGACTAGAAGGAAAAGGAAACCATATAAATTCTATGTAAAAGGGTGGCTTAACCGAAACGTCTAACTCAGTGTTACAGCAAGCTCCAATGTGCAGGTTATGGTGGTTACCAGAGCACTTCCTGGCGGTCCACAAGGCTGACCTTGTCCCAGATGGATGAATGCACAGCTGAAACAAAAGCCTCCATTTTTGACAGTGCCTGTGACGAACTTCGCACTGAGCCCCCCACAGGCCTGTGCCTGTTGAGTTGCCTCTTCATCAGCCATTTCTCTTTTTGGTGTAAATTCAACTGTGATGATAGTATTTGCTGATGATACCAGAACCAGAAGGGGAGCAAACAACGGGAAGACAGACTCAAACTCTAGCATGACGCAGGGAAATTAGAGACAATGAGGAAAATTCAGCAGTAACCACAGAGTAACCAACCTCTTCTTAGTACCACAAAACCCAAGAAAAATGTTATTAAGCTGTATGTAATTCATTAAAGTAGCTTAATTTTTATTGTTTTGTACGTAATTTTTCAATATTTACACTTTCTCCCCCCAAAAAAAAACAAAACAAGAAAAAAAAAAACAGTAAAACCCATAGGAAGCGCTTTTCCTTGAAGGGGTATGCTGGAAGTATGCTCAGAAATAATTTGGAAAATGCGGGAATGCAGAAATGCAGGAACTACACCATTTTATAATACAGGTTTTAAATACCTTCTTTGCACTCTGTTTCATGTAGCATGTACAGCATAAGTACTGTTCTAAGTAGAGTAACTGTGGCTCTCCTACGGTCAGGGAGGGAAAATAGTGCAGGGTCTTCTACTGCATTGGAGGGAAGAAATGAGTGAAATTCAGGTTATGACTAAAACAGTCAGGATGATTGGTGTTTTCCCAGTTATGACAATACCTTGGCGTTCTCGTGCAGACAAGATTAAAACACTGTATGGAACTGGAGTATTTTACTGCACAGCATGGACCAAAGCATATTGAAGCACCCTGGCCTTACAGACTGTAATACTGAAACACTAACTAGCCTTCTCCAACACCATCCTCTCTTATGACACAGTTCCCTCAAAATCCCTTCGAACCCTCTTCTTTTGCTATATGTTGTGTCCTTTCCATCTAGCTTCAAGGCAGCTTTTCCACAAGCTCTGCTGCGCTGGCTTCGTCTTTCAGGTGGAGCCACAACAGCTTGGCCTTTCTCTTGCTTGG